TCCGGAATCCACAGTACAAGGCTGTATCACAGCGGTCTACTTCAGTTAACACGCTTCATATCCTCTGTCTTAATATTGATAGAAAACAGATGTTGGTGTCTTTGCTTTGACAGGACATTCTGGATCACTTTATAGATTTAGGTTATGATGAATTACGGGATACTGTATATCCTGCCACAGCCATATAGTTGTGTCACATGAATTATTACATTTGAGTTTGTTACATTTAATCAATAGAGCTGCATGTGTAGTATAATGGGATACATTGTACCAGACTCTTTTTTCAACTTTTTTTTCTTATTTCTCAACAATAGAAAGTATCACAATGCTGGGAAACAGCATCAGGAACTGGAAATCATTTGAGTTAGTTTTTTTTATTGTAATGATTTTCAGCAATGTTATCTCATTCTGTATCTACTGATGTTATTTCTGGTAAACAAAGTTTCGCTCAAAGGGCTGTTGAGAAACAGCTTGGACTTATTCCATGCTTCGTTCTCAGACAACTTATTCACCCCGCTGTGATGCATTTCTGTCTTTTCAAATGCCAAACTGCAAAAGTAAATACAAATTACAAAATAATTGATAGTTTACACTTAATTTTAAAAATAATGTGTTAGCAATTTGGTAGTAACCAGGTCTTAATAAGTCAAAGCTGCTCCTGCTTTGGCACTTAACGCTCTGTAACTGGAAAGCCACTGAAGCATTGTTTATAACAGATCATCAGCAAAAGTAACGGTTTACTACAGTGCTTCACGGCTATCTTCCAAAAACCTTTTTACATGCACTGCGATGCTGTTTATGGTCTACACAAGGGTGGATCTAGAACATTTTAGAAGGGGTGGCCAGGCTGGGGCACAGACTCAGAGTGGAGTGGCACATTTGAAATATGCGTGAAAAGTAAATTAAACCCCTACTTCTGTGAAATATTAAAGCATACAGAATTCACTTTGTCTTTCCTCATGCCACTTTCATCTAAGATGATAATTTCCAGCTTCTGATTGACTGAACACACCTGATCCAGGCAATCAGCAGTAGGTAGGGCAGGGATAGTTGGAAAACAAGCAGGGCAGTGGCGCTCGAGGATCGCGATTGCCCACCCCAGTCTGCACGCAAGTAGACAAGATCTAACAGGTATACTCATTGAGCCTACTAACTGGTTCTCTGACAGACAGCCATTAGTATGTGATGTGGTTGATAA